CCTTCAAACCTATTCGATACGATGATAGTAGTACATTCGCGCTTTCACGAGAAAACGCGTTGTCGAAAGACCGTCGTAAAGCGCTTATATCGGTATCATTAACGAAGTTAGGATCACCGTCGCTGAGATGAGCATCGTAATCTCCGTGATCGTTCGAAAGTACCTGGAAGAAGTTATAAAGTTAGTCGAATAATCGTTATTAGGTATATCATTTTCCTTCCAACACGATTTCGAAGGCAACCTCCTTTTACGTTACGATCCTAATTATATTAGAAAAATGTTTAATGCTCAATTATGATTATAACTGTCATTAGAAAAATCCTAATCGATTGATATTAAAAATTGATATTAAATAATAAAGAAAAAAGTTCGTTTTCAAATTCAAGCCAATATTCTCGCTCCTTTCTGTTTCATTGATCCCGCTGCTCTTTCAGGCGTTATCGTCGGCGACGTATCCATACTATGCGGCGGCAGCAGCTGCCGCCGCGGCGGCGGCGGGCGTCGCGGGTGTCGGAGGCGTCGGTGGCGTCGGGGGTGCCGGCCAGCTCGGCTACTGGTATCCGCCCCAATCTTACCCGACAACGGCAACGCAGATGCAAGCCGGTGGTTTCCTTCAGGGAATGCAAGGCTATACTTACGGTCAGTTTGCAGGATACCAGCAGGCGCAGTATATGGGGTGAGTTTACCTTTCACTTTTCCTTGTTGTTTTTTTTCTTCTACGAAAATATCAACAATTTTCTGAAGAATTTCAAAATTTTTTCGAATGATAACGCGATTCGTTTGAACATGATGCTTTATGGTTCTTTAAAAAGAACAGAAAATTACATCATAAATATTTTATATTTATCATCGAAATACTTAACGTTTGTAAATTCATCAATTAAGTTTTCTTAAACATCCTGTACATCTATATGTACATATAGGTATATTGTAAAGTATCATCAAGCACTGTCGCCTTTTCGTTGCCAGCTGACCATGCTTGACTGATGTTACTGTCTGACTGTGGTCAGCCAGCGTCATTGCAGTTTAACCGAAACCATGATTTCCGACTAAATGCAATTCCGTCGTTAGAGTCCAAGTAAAATTTTCCATTTGATATTAGGGAACATGTTGCTTTCTTTATTAAACGAATACTTCATCGAACATACATAGCAGAATTTACATATTATTTATGTACGATTTTTATGAGTAGTACATTCTCGTTACGTTTGGACATTAACAACGTTAAAATATGCAAAAACAGAATGGGAATGGGTGTCCATGCTGCTGGCACAGCAGCTGGATGGGGCCAAGGATTACCTGGGGGACCGCAGTTACCACCACACCACGCTACGACGGTCACGGCACCCCCAGGGGTTCAAGCCGCACCTCCGCCTCCACCACCCCCGGCGCAAATGATGGCCTATCCGATGCAACAATTCCAGGTAACCATTACTTTTCTCTATCAGCACGACGATATACATGAATGTTCGTGTGTTCAGCCGTACCCCTGTACGCATCGATGCTTTCAATGGAATTCTATTTTCCATGTTTCTACTAAATATTGCTTTTCAATTTACCCAAAGACGATAGTAATTGTCATGATTTCTGAATACTAAATGCCGACATTGATTTTGAATTAATGTACATATGTTAATTATGACAAACGATGTCTAGACCTCATTTTGCGTTTAACATTTAATTATGCTTTATTAATATTTAACATTAAAAAAAGAAAAAAGAAGCAGAAAGATACTGTTCGATTTTGCACGTTGTCATAGATATGTTCACTCGATTTTTGTAGAATAGTTCACATAACATTATTCATCCTTCACCGTGTATATTCACTGTTACACTTCTATTATATATAATTTTGATCAGTAAGAATGCATTTAACACGCATCATTTCGTCACATCGTAACACGCATGATCCTTGCACAATTTACTAATCTATCGAGTATCTCCCTGGAATAACATCGTTCTCAATTCATTTAGAATATACAAGGAAATAGTAGTATATATGTTTGTTTCTCTTCAAAAAAATTAAAAGGTAGAAAAACTCATGAACATTCTCGATAATAATCATTACAGCTTTAGCAGTATGTAAGCCAGAAGAGATACTCGAGTGGTCCATCTTAAAAGACTGTCTTTATTTACATATTTCGGTTCGCAGGCACAGTGATCGCTACCACTATCATCGCACGGCCTGGCTTATCATTTCTTTCGAATGTCACTTAGCATCAAGATAACTGCGTCTACAACCTGGCTCAACCTCAAATCCAGCCTGAAAAGTATCACTGGATATCGTTCTTTCGTTCTATCGTACAGAGTCACTCAGGAGCGGAAGAGAGGCAAGGTATATTAAGAGGGAGAAAGAATAAGAAGGAAGAATAATATTGTTGTTGTTGTACATACGTAGGTACTTTTGTATCGACGTGATAAAGAGAGAAACGATAAAGTTTCTCGTTGAAGAAAGAAAGAAAAAAAATAGCATAAAATAAAAGAAAAAGAAATAAGAAAAGTAAAGTAAAGTAAAGTAAAGTAAAGAAAAGAAAAGAAAAGAAAAAATAAAAAAATAAAAAAATAAAAAAAATAAAAAAGTAGTCTGCGTCGACGACGTCTACTAATTAATTAATTCGCAATCGATCGACGATATCTTTTCGGTTCGACTGAGAAAGAAAAAAAAACGTCTCGTCCTATCGCCCTTTGACACTTTATACCGATCGATGTGTAGCGTAACGGCTTATTACCGTGTAACACCAATGTATTTTTAGTGTAACGGACTATAGGGGGTCAGAGGTTGAGTCATGGTAAAGGCAGTTTCAGTTCGATTAGTGTTCGTATGTGTTAGACGAGCGATTGCGAGCGAATAAGGGAGAGAGAGAGAGAGAGAGAGAGAGAGTGAGCGAGAGAGAGAGAGAGAAAGAGAGCAAGAGAGAGAGAGAAAGAGAGGGAGAACATAGATGAAAGTCATGGGAGAAAGAGAAGAGAGAGAGAGAGAGTGAGAGAGAGAGAGAGTAAGAGAGAGAGAGAAAGGAAAGAGAATGGAAGGGAGTGAGTGAGAGAGATGTCGAGATTATTTCTATTTCCCTTCTTGAAATTCGGACCAAGACTTAACCAGCGTTTGTGTGTTCAAATGGTAAAGTGTGTTCTTGGTTGCGGTCCAGCTAGCGGATGAGGACTGGCTGACGCCTAGCCTTCTAGTGTGATGGTAAGCAAGTACATCCCACCGACAGGAACAACTTCTAAAGCAACAACATTTACCACCATCGACAGCAACATCAACATTTCCGTCACCATCGACGCCACCGCGACAGCAAAAGCAGTAAAAATCGTGCCGCTTCCGGCCTGACGTCTTGCGACACGAAGGGCAATAAAGGTCGAGAAACGAATATAATATTAGCTTAACAAAACATACAGATGTATGGGGGAGGGGGCGGGGAGTAAGGTTGATAGAAAGTGGAATATAGAGAAGAGGAGATAGATAGAAGGAGAGAAGAAAATAGAAAGAAGGGTAAGGAGGAAAGGTAAGGAAAGAAACGAAGAAGATACAAAAGCCGTGATAGATTTTATGCAAGATCCTTCCATCCTTAACCACCCCATTACGAATTTCCACTGATCCTCCGTCGATTTTAATTGACTCAAGCTTGCAAAGGTGGAGAGGGATAAAAGAAGAAGAAGAAGAGAAAACAAGTGAAAGAAAAAAAAAAAGATAGAGAAGAAATTCCGCTGTTGTTGAGCAATCGGTGACGACATCCTCTCGCGTTAGTCCGCAAGAGATCTTAGTCTATTTCTAGTCTCAAATAATTTTAGGTAGTGTCTCGCCGTGTCACGTTAGTGTCAAGCGCTTAAGCACGAAAACACACGAATTCTCGGATGCACGGACCAACCACACGCGTTCGCGCAGCAACAGTTGTCTTAGTTTTACTACAACAACGGCCGACTTTATGAATGCACAACGCACGCACGCTTGTCGAAAGAGAAGAAAAGAGATAAAAAGATGTAGAGATAAAGATGAATCAATCGCTTAGATTATGCACGCGCACGCGTCTACGATCGTGCGAAATCGATCATCAAAAAGTAATTAGTCTCGTCTCCCTGATCGCATCTATATACATACATACATACATACATACCCCAACCCTATCCTTATTCCCTTAATCCTCTTGCGCTGTGTATAGTGCGTGCTTTTCGAAGAAAAATTTTTTCCATATGGACCCTTTCGTCCTATGAGAGAGAATAAAGTGGAAAAAGGTAGAGAATCATCGGATACTGATCTGTTTCGTTATTTTTATAGTTTTGAGCATAAACGTGAATATAGAAAGAAAGAAAGAAAGAAAGAGAAAGAAATATGGAGCGTGTGTAATCGATAAAAAAAAAACTTGAACTCGCACCACCGTAAGAGTGCGAAGTAATCTTTTTAATTCACGGTGTATAAAGACTAGATAAAAAATGAAAGAAAAAAGAAAATGTCTCGTGAAGAAGAAATATCGCGAGTTTACTCGAGAGGGGAGAAAAAGAGCGAAAGCGAGAGAAAGAGAGAGAGGAAGAGAGGAATATATAAAAAGAAAATTATTATAAACGAAATCCAACAAGTAGCTAGTTAGATAGGTATATTATATTACAAAAGTTGCTCGACAGACGATCCGAAATTCGGCGGCAAAGCGGAGGCGAACTTTTTCCGATTAAACTCACGAATAAACTAAACGACGATGATCTAAGCGTTTTTAATACTGCGCGATCACTTATGCTCGCAGTCTCCGATAAAATAATTCTTAATAAACAAATGCTATTGCGAATCAGTACAACCAAACGTACTCTTTCTTAACTTTTACAAGAGAAAGGGAGAAAGGGAGAGAAAGAGATGGAGAGATAGAGAGAAAGAATAAAGGAGATTTATTTGCCAGGTGCGAGAGTATTTCATACACGCATGTGCATTTATACATACGTATTTGCTAGAACAAACTCGAGGCCAAAAAGACAAATCATCCGAGTGGGTCATCGTGTATAAAAAAAGTAGATGAGCAAATAAAAAAAATATATATATAGAAAAAGAGAGGAGTTAGAAAAGAGAGAGAGAGAGAGAGAGAGAGAAAGAAAGAGAGAGAGAGAGAGAGAACGAGAGAGAGAAAGAAAGAAAGAGAGAGAGAACGAGAGAGAGAAAGAGAAATGGAAAGAAAAAAAATAAGAAATGGACTGCTCGACACTCTCGAAGTATAAACATTTTTATTATTAGTTCTCGTCCAAACCGATTTCTGACATCCGGCGAGACAAATATTTTTATAAAAGGATCGTCGGTGTGCGAGCTTCGGGTCTCGCGACGCTCTCGATCGTCACGTCACCGTCGTCGTCGTCGTCGTTGTCGTCGTCGTCGTCATCGTTGCCGTCGCCGTCGTCGTCGTGCGGCCGGTCAATCGCAGTAATAACCCTTGGTGGTTTTTAAATAAGCGTTAGATTTTTATATAATACTAAAGTACATACATAGAACCAAACACTAACGAAGAAGAATAATAAGGAGAAGGAGAAAAAAAAGAAATTATGAAACTCGTGACTTTAAGGACACTTAAGCAATAAACCGTTAAGCTTACAAATGGGTAAAGATTAAAATAATAGACAAAATAAAAAAAAAGGCTTTAGCAATCTCTCAGCCTCTCTGTATATCGCTCTTTAAAAAGAGAAGAGAAATAAAGGCGTTTTAAACTGGCGAACGGAAGTCGCGCATTCTCAACAACGAATGAAGGCTTTGGGAGGAGACACGGAGAAAGGAGAAAAAGAAGAATCGACACACGAATATCCTCCACGTGTACTTATGCATTCCCCGCGTAATTAAATCCTCCGAACGAATAAAATTAAAAAAAAGGAAAAAGAAAATAAGAAAAAAAAAAAAGAAAGAAAAGAAATGAAACACGGTCTCCACGATGTCCCGAATTTCGACTCGGCTAATTTATAAAAGTAAAAAAAATGAATGAATATCGAGATCGTCGGTTATTGTAATAAAGATGGTGTGAATAATAACTATGATAATCTGTATGAATGAACTAGTACGTACGATCGAAAGAAAGAGAGTGAGAATGGAAGAATGAGAGCGTAAAAAGCGATAACGATGAAATATATATAAATATATATATATAAATATAAATATAAATATAAATATATATATATAAGTATATATATATATAAGTATATATATATATATATATATATATATATATATATATAAATATGATTGCACAAGCGAAAAAATGAGAATGAACGATACGAAAAAGAGAGAGAGTTAAATACAATGCGTAGTTAGAAATATTGCACAAAACAGCACGAAAGTTACATTATATAGTGGCATTGAATTTCCTTCTCGTGTACGCGCGTCGTGTCTATCATCGGTCCAGTAAGTAGTAAAAGAACGGCTGCCATAATCGATTCGAATTCGATCATCTTTCGCAAAGATCGTTACGTAAAGCGTTAGCAGAAATTAAAGTAGTTGGACGCAGAAGGTGTGTATGCGTGTGTGTATGTATATATTTTACGAATAGATGGGTGGATTGAGAGAGAAATAAAGAGAGTAAGAAAATAAGAAAGAGAAAGAGAGAGAGAGAGAGAGAAAGAGAGAGAGAAAGAGAGAGAGAGAAAGGAAGTGATGGCGATAGAATAGAAGGGGATAGGGAAGCAAAGGTTTTCGATACTTGAAAAGGTAGAACAAGGCCGAAGTGTAGAAACTGGTAGAGCGCAAGCATCATCTATCTCCATGTTCCATCTTTTATCTCTCTGTCGCCTCCGCTTCCCTTTTGTCTCTTTTATTTTTTTCTTTTCTCTCTCTCCCTCCTTCTCTCTCTCTCTCTCTCTCATTCTCTCATTTTTAAGCACTAACAGAGCACGAAGCTCTTGCACCAACAAGAGCCACGCGCTCCCAACTTCCAGCAGCTACCCTCCCAGCCTAAACTATATATATGTATGTTTCTTCGTGCACCGCGAAATCCTCTCTTTGAAGCCGACGATGAAATCCGTGTTTGCCTATCCCTCAAAAATGAAACTGTCTCATCCTGTAGGAGTGCGTCGATGGATAGAAAGTCCATGAACTTTTCCGCGAAACAATGAATCAAAGGAACCGATATATAGAGAATATATAGAACGTACATTGGAAAGAGAAGAAAAGGAAGAGAGAGAGAGAGAGAGAGAAAGAGAGAGAGAGACAGGATGTTATAGGGAAATAGTGAATGAGACGAAGGGAATGAATAGACGGGAAGAGGAGATAAAGAATGGGAGGAATAGTAACGACAGACAACGAACGATAGATCACTTTGTTATTAATCAAAAGAGATAGGGCAGATCGTGTTTTAAGCGAATCAAAAGCGTTCAACGTTTTCAAATCAAAAGGACAAGATGATCAAAGGGTGAGACGTAGCAGCAGCGGTAAGAGGGAAAGGAGGAGAGATGTTTGCCTGGTATCCGGAGACGCCAGGAAACGTAACTCCGAATGAACGAACGAACGGATGGACGAATGACGAAATCGAAGTTTTCGAGAGGTAACGTCGGTCGCGTTGTGTTTTTCTCTCTCCCTCTTTCTCTCTTTCTCTCTCTCTCTCTCTCTCTCTCTTTTTCTCTTCCCCTTCACTCTTTTTCACCTTTTCTCCTTTTTCTCCCTTTTCTCTTCTCATTTTTTTTACTCTCTTCTCTTTTCCAACCCTTCGAATCGCGTCGGGTCGCGTTGATGAAAAGCACGATCCGCTTGGAATTCGTAACGTTCACAGACGAATATTAAAGGGGAAAAAAAAAGAGAAAAGAAGAAAAGAAAGAGAGAAAGAGATAGAAGGATAGGTAGTGGAATCCCGTTAACGCATCGTTTCGCGGGCTTTAAACCACATTAAGGACTTACGAAAAAGAGAAAGAGAGAGAGAGAGAGAGAGAGAGAGAGAGAGAGATGCAAATGTCAGCTAATAATCCTAAGGTCCTCTCTCAACTGGCAGTGATAAATACAGCAGTTATACCAGCTGTAGGAAAACGCGAAAAAGACCGACTGGCGCCGATGTGATCTCGATGCGTGTAACATAATTCGATCAATTTCATTTCATTTTCTATGTTTGTTTTTAAACAAAAATATCGAATATAACTTTTTGTCAGACGAAATCACGCATCGTTAAATCGATTATAGAGACGTCCAATTTGATGGACATTCGAGGAAAAATTTTTTAATAATTAACATCGAAAGAAAATTTCTCTTTTATCCCAACCGCTGTATAATATAATATTCTAGAAGCGCCTTATGTGGACACGGCGCAAACGTATTGAGAAGGAGTAACAAAATGATAACAAACAACAAAAAATATATATATATATATACATACATCATACCTGCGCACAGCGGCGATGATGAAAGCTGTTATTTTGAATCGTCGCGCGTGAGCGTAGCGCGCGCGTTGTGCGTGGTGGAAATAATAGATAGATAGATAGATAGATAGTTCATAAGTCGAACGAGGAGACATGAGAAAACATAAGGGAGAAAAACAAAAATCATGTACATTATTAGTTAGGCGAAAAAGAAATAAAAAAAAAATATAGGATATTTTTGTGAAAAGTGGGACGAGATAGAGAGAAACAGAGAGAGAGAGAAAGAGAGCAAACTTAACGTTTGTGCGACGAATCTCGCCAACAATTTAGTGTAATAATAAAAAAAAAAAAGAAAAAAAAAAAGAAAAAATACAGAGAAAAAAAAACCAAAAAAAAGGAAAGAACGAAAAAAAATAAGTACGTGCAACAAAATAGCAACGAAACGAGCAACTTAGAAAATTTATCGGAATAATCTTCTAACAGAATTCTATATCTTGAAAGTGCTCGTAAAGGTCAGAAGGACTAAAGAGAAAACTTTAATCTTTCTTACGTTTCCTTAATTTTTTCCTTCTTCCCTAAACGCGAATAAAAAAGTCTCACTCCCTCTCGACGAAAACGCGTCTCGTTGCGCCTCTCGTCTCGATTCCACTTTTAAAATGGAGTTCCCCGGGGCCGGATCTCTTTCAAAGAATCAGCGGGGATGACTCGTCCTGTATAAAATGTTTTAAGAAAAAGGCGCCTTAAACAATTGAGGTGTGTATATTAACTTTAAGCGTAGTAGTCTCGTACTGTTGTCTAGAAAGCAAGAGAGATAGAGAGGGAGAGAGAGAAAGAGAGAGAGAGAGAGAGAGAGAGAGAGAAAGGACACCGTGTGAAGCTAGCCAAGTAAGTGGACGCCCACCAAAGGGGAAACCAAAAAATGTAGTGTATAATAAAAATAAAGTGATAAGTAGGTAATTTTAATTTAAGCTATACTAGCGAAATGTTAAGGAGGCG